CCCCCGGGCCGGACCGGGCCCTGCCGGGGCCGCGCGTGAGGGTGGCCGGGCCGGGGTCGGGGCCGGAGCCCCCAGGGAGGGTGGAAGGGCCGCGCTGGGGCAGGCGGCGGCCGCGGGGTCCCTGTCGGTGACCAGCACCGGGGCAAAGCCCTGCTGACCTTGACCTGCTCAGGAGCTGCTGCGCTGCTGCCGGCTGGGTCAGGGGCTGCTTAGAGACAACAACAGAAATCCAGTGTTTTGCATGGTCTTCTGCTGCAAGTGCCTGCAGTGTGGGTTTAGTTGACTGCCCGCTTTCCTCACCAGCTCTCGGGTTTCTGCATATCCGGAGGTGATAATGTGGGCCCTCTCTTTACAGCGCTGGCCGGAGCTGCCATACCGAGCTGACAGTGTTTTATGTGCTCACCTCGTGCGTTACTGAGGCTTGTGAGCTTTCACTGTGGTTTCTGGAGAGGTTCTCAAAGATCCACCAAGCTTCAGTATTTTCTGTGCTTTCTCTGAGCTAGGACGTTGACAGCTTGGTCATGGTAACACAAGCAGAGCCCTTCAGCTGACGAGAGACAGGCTGGGTGTCTGCAGGTGCTCAGCTGGTTGGGCTAAAATGTAGGTTTCTCCATCTTGTGTTTTGTTTCGACTGATTGAGAACATGCTCACATATGCCATAGTGGACCTGCACGTTGTGTGGCAGGCTGGCAGTGCTGTCCCTGTAATTTTTAGCTGAAATAGACTTACCTGCTAGACTTCCTCACTATAGTGGGACAAAGGCTTACTTTGAGCTTCTGGAAGTGTGAAGTAAAACATTTCCGTCTTTTAGCTCCCGCTGCTCTGACAAAGTGAATCCCAGGCTCAAGGGTTCCTGTGGCCACCAGGGACTTGTTGACGCACATGCCAAGATAGAAATAACTGAACTGCATGTTATTCAAATTTTGCTGCCCTGGTGCAAGGCCATCTGTGTATGGAAACCTATTTTGGTTTGAAATAGGACACTCTTAACAAATGTGTGTCCATAGTTAGAAGTGCTGTGGAGCAATACAAGTTCTCAATTTTGCTCGTTCCATGACTTAAGTTCCTCTTTCCATGCAGTTCGGTCTCCTACTGTAGAGACTTTGCAGCTGATACAGGGCAGCTATCTTGAAGATGGGACCCTGGCTGCAGGGGTGGTTCCAGACATACCTTCATTTGGGGAGAAATGTGAAACTGAAATCCTGCCTGCTTGTGGTGGAGGCCTTCAGGGCCCTGACCCTGCGTCCTGCCACGGTCTCCTGTTTTTTCTGATTGAAACTATGTCCTATTCCACGAACAGAAATAGAAAATTGGCCAGAGTTGCGTCCTGTTCCCGGACGCGGTGGGAGGACCAGGCTTGCGGAGGAGTACGTCAGTGTAACTTCTGAGCAGCACATGCTGTGCCAGCGGTACCTGCCGCCTCTCCTAATGATGGAGCGATAACCTGAGCGAGGGTTTTAGCAGTGTGCCTGCTTTGATTTGATGGGATTATTTCCCGCAGGGTGCAGGAACTCAGTGAGGTAGTTGGTAATTTTTTTCCAGTTTTGCCTTAGCTCATACTCTTCTGTCTGTGGGAAGAGCAAGTCAGTGTCAAAGTGCAGGGCTTGAAGTTGAAGGAAGAAACAATAAGACCATTCTCTCTGCAAATCCTTTGCTATTTAACTTCAGAACTTGACCTGCTTTCCTGGCAGTGAGGTGCTTCTGTAGCAAATACGGCATCAGGCCTGATCTGGTCATGTACACAGCAGCTCTTGAACTTGCCTAACTTGTTGAAAAGGACCACCAAGAGGGGAAAAATTCTTTGCAAACTCAGGACAATACATTCATTTCTGAAAACATATTTCTTTGCTATGTACATGTCCCAGGCAGAGCCCAGCAGTGTGTGTGGTCAGTCACCGCACTGGAATACTTGAAACGGACAGTGAAGCCAGCAGAAAAGTATGCTTGGGATAAACTAATCAAAGTGGAGATGAGCCAGCAAGAGAATGGGTGAGAGCGAGCGCGAGGGACGTGAACGGCCAGTGGTGGGGTGCTGGGAGAAGAGGAGTTGTGTGGCTGCAGGACACCTCTCTCTCGCCCTAAGCTGCTCGGGTCTGGTGCCGGCAGGATGTGGGGTGACTTGTTCTGGTGGAGCCACATCCTCTCCCCGGGCTGTTGTGAAGCTTCTTCCTGCCCCAGGGCTCGCATCCGGCTTCCCGTCGCTGCCCGGGCGTGTGGGGGGCCGGATGTGACCCTGCTTGAGAACCACCTCCAGAGAGCATGCTCCCAACTAATGGGAAAAAATGTTCTTCTCATTGTTTTGGGCTGTTCCCAGAATAACCCCGCAGCAGGCAGAGCGGCCGAGGCCCTTCGGCAGAGCTCGGCCAAGGCAGCTCAGCCAGGACGGTGAAAGGCCATCTCCTGGTCAGCTGGTTTGAGTTCTCGGCCACCATGATGCTGGGCAGGTGTATAGGTCAAACTTGCATTGTTTAAAGAGAACTTCATTAAAATAACAAGCTGTCTAATAGGAGTACTTATAGAATCCTGCTCCTTAATTTAATCAGTTCTTTCAGTGTTTGTTTTTTTATTTTTAAGTTCAAAGGCATGATAGAAAAGAAACCAAACTTTGCAGACGCCCTGGGGGAGAAGGGCCATGTAACTGATCGTCTGTGTGTTTGCCCGGCCAGAGACTCCCCTCTGACCTGTGCAGAGTTCACAACAACATTTATCCGAGCGTGCAAACCGATTGCTGTTGCTCCATATCTGTTCCAGATGCCTCCTCGGTGCCACCCGCCCGGGGGCAGCTGCCCGGAGCAGGTCCTGGTGTGGCAGAGCCGTGTGGTGCAGCGGTGGCTGGGCAGGGGGAACCCACCGGATTGTTTCCTGGGCTGCGGGCCGAGGAGGGTGCTGGGCACAGGGTGGGTGCTGCTGCGGGCCCTGTGCCGCACGGTGTCTCACCCCGCGGCTCTGCCTGCCGTGGCGGAAAGCCCTGTTCTCTGTGCGTGGCTGCTGCTGCCGCCATAGAGGGGCTTTGTGTGCGGCAGCACAGAGTGGGGATTGATGGCGTGTCCCCTCCCCCTGCCGCCTTGAGCGGAACGCAAAGGGCTCTGACAAAGGCACCCTTCTTCGTCCCGCCGAGGCCAGGGTGCGGCCAGAGGGGGTCCCAGCTCAGCGGCACGGTGCCGTGGGTAGAGGCACCCCCTCCCTTCTGGTGGGGCCGGGACCTGCTGCTCGGGTTCCTGCTGGGCCTCCCCGCAGCAGGCCCCAGCGTGGAGCCGGAGCCTGGGCAGCATTCGACAGCAGGTCCCTGGCCCGTGTTAGCCCTGTCCCCGCCATCGCCACTGCGGAAAAGGAAGGAGTGCCAGGGCTGCCTGCCCCCAGGGGCTTTGAGGGGGCACAGCCCCTCTGCTCCCCCCTGAGGTGGGGTGTCAGTGCCATCCTGGCCGTCTCCACCCTGGTGCTTCCTTGGGGCGGGTTTGGTGGAGGCTGGAGGTGCCGGGGGAGCGGATCTGCTTCCCCTTGGTGCGACCGTGCTGGAACCTGCCTCATGGTGCTCTTAGCGTGTGGGGAGTATCCTCACGCACCTGGATTGCAGTTCAAAATGGCCTAAGAGAAGCTCGTATCAGCATTCATTATCTCCCAGCTCCTCCCAATGTGTAATAACAAGTCATCACATTATTGAGAGTGACTTGGAAAAGTTTCAGAAAACGTGCATCCGTATGAAGAACAGATTGTGAGTTCGTTCTTAACTTCACATTCTGTTTTCTTGGTACTGAGCCTTTTGGGCAGTGGGTTCTGGATTATTTGCAAGGTATCTGGACGAGCCGGTGGAGCAGCACGAGCCCATGCACTTCAGGTCGTGCTTCGGAGGCTGCGGCTGTGCAGGGAGCGGAGCGGGTCCACACTGCTCTGGCTGCTGAAGCAGAGCGCTCTCGGGGTTTGGTCCATCGGCAATAGTGGTTTTGCCATCACTGGTCACTGCCTTCTGGTCAGTTTGGACTCCAAGTAGTCTGGCTGTTCATTTGACATTGTTATTATTTACATAGGGCCCAGACTTGCTCTTTTTTATTGCCTGCAGCACGATGTTTGTTCTGACTGGGCATTGTGAAGTGTAAACCCAGGTCCCACTGGCACCAGCACTCACCTCTGCCTTTTCTAGAAGCAGTAAGTAACCAGCTATCTACATGGCCTAGTAATGCTGGGGTTTAATTGCTCCGAGGAGGGAATTGAATTAGGTAGCTCTGGTTCACGGCTTGTCTGGCTGCACAGCAGTGACGCTTGTTTACACAAAGCACTGCCCTTTTATCTCGGGGTGCGTGGGGGGTGGTTTCCTGGGGCATTCCTGCCTGAGAGCCAGGGAAGACTTGCCCTGACTGGCTGCCTCTGCAGGAGACCACATGCCGAGGCAGTGGCACCTTTCCCCATCCTCCTCCTCAGCGAGTTGTTTGAGCAGCTCTCTTGTTCTCTCCTCCTGCTTCCTGCAACAGCATCTCTCCAAGATTGGTTGGTCTTACCTGCTTCTACCCCCCTGTGCGTATCTCCCTCCCCTGAAGTACTCGGTGATGTCTCCCTTCTCCTGGAAGATGCTCAGGCCTCTTCACGGCCCCTGTCTGCTTTGCATCAGACCATCCTGTGCTGCTTCCTCTGTGTCCCCGGTGCCGAGGCTCCCCTCAGCGAGTGCGGTTTCGGAAACAGCGCCAGATACATCTGTGCTGCTACACGAAAATGGTCTGGTTCAGGGGGGTGCGGTGGGACTGACGACTCGCAGGGGAACCCCCAGCGTGTCTAACACCCGCAGGGGATGGGCAGCCTCCCAAGGAAGGCATTAGGAGCAGATTTCTTGCTGCTTAAAATGGCAGAGCTGCTTCAACCAGCCTGACTCAGCGATGAAATTTGCTCTCTCTTTGGGAGGAAAGGGAGTGAGCTTGGATTTTCCCAGCATTGCCAGAGGGAAACCAGCCCATGCTAAGTATCCTGGAAACATGAAAATTAATCTCAGAAGGGGCTCTTGGCCCAAATTCCAAACCTATTGGGCATTGCACAAATGTACCCTCTTATCAAAAGCAAATGAAAGTGCAGAAGGTGTGTCTGGCCTAATCCTGTGTTTACCTTGGCGGTCGGTGGTGTGTCAGCCAGGCGCTGTGGCATGCATGTGGGCTCTGGGTGCTCTGTCTGCTGCTGCCTGTGCTGCCGAGCAGCCCTCTAATTCTGCTCCTTTCTTTCAGGATCAGTCCATAATGCCTGAAGTGCGAGACCTCTCAGATGCCTTGCCTGACGTGCCAATGGATCCCATCACAGGGGTTGGTGTGGTTGCGTCCCGGAACCGAGCACCCACAGGTTACGATGTAGTAAGTAGAGCTATTTCAGCTGCTGTTGCTAATGCTTTGGTTCTGTGCTGATGAGACTTTACTTCGCTGGGAACAACATCTCTTCCAGAGAGGCCTTGCCTTCAGATGTGTGCTTTAAGAAATCATTTGATATCCAGCTGCCCACCTCTCAGCCGCAGCAGTTAGTGCTTTCCCTCAGTGCAGGTTTGTGGGTACAATCGTGCTGCTTCATCTGTGCCATTCCAGAGGAGCATAATTACCTGGAGGAGGGGTTTTCAGAAACAGCTGGCCACTGTGGCATGCAAATTTAATAATCCTAGTAACATTCATCCTGGAGGAGTCCTAAGTATTGCACAAATTATATCTCTGAATAAATGGATCCCGCATCAGCTGTTTAATTCCACATATCAGCACTGCACAATGATGATGAGACGCTCCAGAGTGGGAAGCAAAGAGTTTCACATCCAGCTGAAGCTGCAAGGATGATTTTGATGGACAGAATGCAAACCTCTAAACTAAGCCTTGGCAGGAGGCTGGGCAGCAGGAAAAGGCAGCTGGGTACAGCAGAGATGAGTCTGTGAATGGATAAAGGGAGGTCACTGTTTAACAGCTGCTTGTTCCTTGGACTAGTTGCTGTGTAACCAACAGCATGATTTTTTTTCTCCCCATAGATTAGTGACCCAAACAGTGCAATATCATAAAATACTGACCTTGCAGAGCTCTGTATGGAAAGATTTGGCCCATAGTCCATCTGCCCACCTCTGTATCCCGCTCCCACTATGCTACATCACACCTTGGGTTTCCAGTGGCACGGCTTGTGTGGTTGGGAGTGGAAACCGGTTGATCTGAGGCTTTGCTCACACCTCTTCAGCTCTGGATCAGTGTGTGCCCTGCTCTGTGTGAGGAGGAAGAAAATGGATCAGGCTGAAGTAAGGACACGAGGGAGGGAATTGTGAAAAGACTCCTTAAAGACCTGGAAGGTTTTTGCATTTACTGCATTTTTCTGACTGCTGATTACCTGTGTGAGCCAGGCTGTGTAATTAGCTGCTTGCCCTGATAAAGGAGCACAGGACAATGTGAGAGTTGTGATAACAGAATTGCATTCTGCCTAAATGACTGGGCAGAGAGCGCTCACCCCAGATAGCCTGGCTGTGGTTTAATGGGGAGCTTCAGCACTAACGCAGTTTAAACTAAACAAGATAAAAGAGTCTTCCTGTGGCTTAATCCAATTACGGTGGTGTTGTAATAATGCTTGTGAATGTGGGTCGCTTGCTCCTAGGGGGCACGGAGAGGAGGCTGCCTTTCCTCTGGTGCTTCTGCCTTCCTCTCTGTTTGCAAGGAGCTCTCCTCCAGCCCTGGGCCAGCGCTGACACTAGTTTATCTTGGGAGGTTGTTGTTTCCCCACAGGGATCTGATCACTTTGCCTTTTGCTACGGTGTCCTGCGGCGTCCGGTTCTACAGGTGGATTCAGAGTTGTGCGGGAAAATATTTCCTCTTGTTAGTGATGAGTTTGACATCATGCAGTTTCACTGATGGTTTTCAGTTTTGTGATGAAGTACCCAGTTCTCTCTTTGAGACAGCTGTGTTATTTATAGGCTTTTCCCAGTTTCACTTTCATTCATGCTCTTTCTCCAGTGAACAACCATTCTTTTCCTTCCCTTTCCCTTAGCTCCTCTTCAAAGCCAACAAGCAAAGGCCTGGGTGCTTTCAGCCCAAGGGTAAGTTAAATGCCCAGGGGCTGTCCTGCTCCCTTCCCCAGGTTCTCCTGGAGCCCTGGGGTCCGGCATGCTGCCTGGCTGGAGGTATTGGGGCAGAGCCCAGGGGAATCCTGGCAAATGGGTCAGAGATCGCTTTCTCCTCAGTAGTTTTTTAGTTACTTGGAAACCTCTGATGCCTCTGTGTCTGCTTAGAAACCAGCTACTGACGCTTGGTCTTTTAAGCCAGGTCTTTTAGCAGCTGAAGCACTAAAGACTTGATTTTGCCAAAATGTACGGAGTGCGTCTGAACTTAATTCCTGAAAATCTGCCCAAACTGGCCAGACTGAGCGCTGGGTGGGGAGGAAGGAAGGGGAGGTGGGAGCCCGGGTGGCAGAGAGGTGTGGCTGACGTGGGGCCGTGTTCTGTTCTGTGGGGTTTGCTCTGGGGTGAGAGCCCGAGGGTGCTGCTCCGCCGGGGCCGGCTCTGCACACCACTGGTGGGGCAGACCCTCCCCGTGGGGCAGGCGGCTCACAGTCCCCTCTGCCAAAGGCCTGTCCTGCGGTAGCAGCAGCCCTGTGCTGACTGCTGGGCAGCAGGTGGGTCACTCCACGCTTGAGGGACACCTTCCTTACTGGCTGTCACCGCACCAAGTCCATCTGTTTGTGGCACATGCTTGAGTTGTGTCTTCCCCAGCTCCATGAAGGAGAAGGACCGTTCCTCGTGCCTGGAACACTGGGTGCCCAGTGCCGGGTCTTCCCTCCCGCGTGTTCCTTGCCCGTTAGCCAAGCGCTGGTGGGCCGGGGCTGCACGGCACTGTCTTGCTGGGCACGTGTTCCTCGGCCTCTTCGGGTCGGCTCCTTCCCGTGTTGCCCCACGGAGAGCTCGCTGCCATCCTGCACTGCTCAGGCACAGCTCTGCTGCCAGAGCCGTGGGGATCCTCCTTGCCTGCAGGAGCTCAGCAGATGATGTCAGAAGTTTCCTGTTTATATTGCTGTGTTTTCTTTTCCCGTGAGTCTTCTGACAAGTTAACGCATGCCTGTGTTCTGCAGGCTTGGAAGGAGTCCCCACAGGATGATGCGGAGGCGCAGGGCAGGGGTCGTTGGGCGGGAGCGGGAAGGGGAGTGCTGTGTCCCCCGGGAGATGGGTCGGGTCCCTTGCCACAGGGCTCCCCGTGGAACCAGCTCAGGTCTTTCTACTAGACATCTGATGGGTTAGAATGGCAGGGCTGTTCCCAACAGGATGTGTGGTGTGAATTGGTGCTTTGGGATTTTTTTCATCCTTAAGTCAGTGCTGAGCATCGCTTCCTCCAGAGGGGTGTCAGTGTGGGACCTTCGGATGTCCCGTCCAGCTGTGCCCTGGGCAGTGAGCTCTAGAGGAGATATCAATGGAAGTGATGCACTTCCACCTCAGAAATTATTTGGTGGTGGTGTTAGTAAGCTCCTAAAGCTTGCAGAGGTTGGAGAAAAAGCACATTTGACAGCAGCTTGTATGGTGCCAGTTTCACAGTTGCAGGCTGGGTCTGGTGCTGCCTGTTGGGTTTTGAGTATCTTTGATGCAGGAACAAACAAAACAGAACTGCTTAACACAAGAAAAACTGAAACAGAATTTGAACTGTATTAATTAACAAAGTGATTAAATCTGGTTGTAGTCCCTCAAACTGTTTCTGACAAGGGCTGGAGTTCAAGCAATGTCCCTTTATGCAGACACTCTTTCAAAGCAGTCTGTTTGGAGAAGTCAGTCCTGGGGAAAAGACACTCAGAAGAGTGGAGGGAGATGCATGTGGATTTTTGTTATTCCTTGAATTCAACTTCCCTGAAGTGCTAGTTTAGGAATATATAAGAAACGCACTAAAATCCCGTTTTAAATTTTACTCTTGGGAAATGATGCATGTTTCTTTGCAGAAGGTCACACACAAGTGTGTGTTGTGCAAGGGCCTGAGCTGAGCAGGAGCTTGTGAGCAGCAGCTGCCGAAATGCGAGGAGCAGCCAATGCACTTCGCTGCCGTCGCTGCTCAGACGATAAACACGCTTTTCTCTCCCACACTTGGGATAATTGGAGGGTCCTGTCACCACACATCTCTTGCTCCCTGTGCACAGGCTCTGCTCGACGAAACATGGGTGCAAACAGTTATGACAATGTCAGCTCTTTGTTATCAGGCTGCTCTGGGGCCAAGGTCTTGCTCAGTTCAGTAAGATTAGACCTGGAAGAGCTGCAGTGGAGTGGTTTGCCCCCCAGCTCAGATGCATTAGTAGAAGTTCAGCTGTGCTTCTGTGTAGCTTCAGACCACACTGCAGTCTCCTGTTGGGAGCCATCAGTTGGGTGCTGGTCTGGTGGAGTGATGTTATTTCTGCTGCCCTTCTCCCTGTGTTAGCCTTCTTGTTTCACTCGACAACAAACCTTTGGGGCAGGGGCTCGCAGAGCTCACACCGTGCAGGGCAGAGCAGAGCCCTCTCCCTGCGTGCGGTGCTGCCTCGTGACCACCCCTTCAGTCGGCTCAAAGGTGAGATCTTCTCCTGGTGTTCTCTTTCTGCACATGCCTGGGATCCGTTTCCTTTGCTCCCTGTGCGATGTGGGCTGCTGATCTGGACGCAGGGTTCGTTGTGGGGGGAGTTTGTGGGGTACGTCCTCGCACACAGCACTGCTGCTAAATCTGTGCCTCACTGGGACTTTCCCCAGCTGCTGGAAGCAGCTTTTGGGCCTGGGAGCCAGAATTCCTCAATGGCTTTTCTGTGAAGAAAATCCTGAGATTGGGTAGTTCCTGTGCTCTCTCTGCTCAGAGCCCTCCTCGCAGCTGGCCCTGGTGTGCCCTCGCGTGCGGGGTGGTAATGAGCGCCTCGATGTGCTGACTTCTCCAAACTGTTGTTTAGAGCCTGTAACTGAAGTTGCTGTTGCCTCATTAGAATAGCCTTTGTCAGGGCATCTTTAATCAACAGACTCCCGAGAGACAGCATTTTTAGAACTTCTTTTTATACCTCCTCTTGGAAGTTCTTTGCACTGCACCTCGTGAAGAAACTAATGAGATGCTGTGAGAGTTCGGGCTACCGTTAATTAGAAGGGGTCTGAGGAAGAAGTACTGCACATATATTAACTTTATCTTGGCTCACATGTCTCTTCTCTCCCTCTGTCTCTTCTTTGCAGGTTGCACAAACAGCAGATGGCTTGGATGCTGACCTCTGGAAAGATGGCTTATTTAAATCCAAGGTCACACGATACCTGTGCTTCACGAGATCATTTTCAAAAGAAAATGTAAGTCTGTTTGCTAAGTGTCTGCATGATTTGCATCTGTGCCTGGTATGCTCTTACCCATAAGATGATTCATTTTATGGAGCCAATTATAATTCAAGCAGGCATTTCGCTGAGTTTGGGTGAGTCAGGAGGCAAACTGCAATGGGTAGGTATTTGCATTTTGCCTGTGTTCTTCATGGAAAGAAGTTGCTGGCAAAATCTGCAATAAAAGCGACAGCAAAAGGAATGCTTGCGTTTCAGCAATATTTCCTGCTGCAGCAATGGGCACTTCATGCTCATCATCCTGATGAGTTTCTAACTCTGCCCAGAGAAGCAAGTGCTGCAGGTGGTGTTGATGAGGAAATGTTAGTCTCTGAATCCAGGGGCATCACAGATATTTTCTTGCAGGATTGGCATTTCTTTCCTTCTTGTTCTTGGTGCCGATTCTTGAAAACTTGCCCACATTGTGCATTTGTACCACATTCTTGTAATCTGCTATTACGGCTATTAAGCATAAGTTAATTTCTGATTAGTGGCACTTGTCTGCCTGCATCCTCTTGAGGAGAGGAGACAGTGTGCAGTGAGACCCTGATGCCTTCTACTGTGTGTCTGGTTGAGGCTGGTGTGAAAACTTCCTCTTTTCTGGAGGAACTATTTAATTCTACAATGAATGCACTCCATCTAGTGGGTAATCCTGCTTTTTGTCGTGTTTTGGATACTCAGTGACTTAGTTGTCAGAGTGTGGAGATACCATTTTGTATTCGTGCTTTCACCAACAACGGGGACAGAAAAGCGACTGCAGAAGCTGATCGTGGGTCCTGACAGGAAAGCCAGGGGCTGCCAATTTCCAGCATTTGACCTTTATTCCATCCGCTTCCCTGCCTGACTCTAGATTAAAATAAAACTCCAGAGCTATGGGAAATATCGGTTCCTGGGGTGGATGAACAATAATTGTGCTTTTCATCCTGCAGTACCTGAAGTAGCAGGAATAATAGCCCTAGAATAGACAGGGAGGGTGTTAAACAGAAAGATTTGTGGTGGTTTGAGTATTGAGTTTATCTGTGGCTACCTTAAATGTGAGGTTGTCAGAAATAATTACAGGACAGTAGCAACTGCTGGCTCCAGAGACAGTGTAAACACCCTCAGTCGGTGCCTGTTGGGCTTTTGGCAGGAATCCTCTGCTCGGTGCAGTTTGGGAATACGTTCCTCAAATTGATGAGGAGTGAACTGAAGGGTGCTGGGGGGTCCTGCTGGTCCCCACATCCACGTGTGCGAGCTGTGGTGTGAGTTGCAGTGTCTGCACGGGGGTTCTCTCCAGCCCCGCGTCAGTGGCACGTTTGACCCGTGGCGCTCCTGGGCAGCAGCCTGCGGGCACCACAGCCCCCGTGTTTACAATATTTGATGGATTCTGAGGGCATTGATGATGTTCGAGTGTCCTAGTGAGGAGGCCCCGAATGGTGCAGCTCTCAGACAAGGAGGTTTTGTGCCCTTTCCTCCTGGGCGTAGGGCAGAGCATCAGCGCTCTGCCGGTGTTCCAGTAGCCAACAATCTCACGAGGGGCATCTCTTCTACCTCTCTGCTGTCCATGAGGGATGGTCGTTGGTTCAGCTGGAGGTTGCACCCTGATGTAAGCAGCCAGACAGCTGGGATAAAGAAAACATGAAAGATGAATCAGCAGTGACCACTTCATCTACCGTTTGCTGGGCCAGGACCATGTTAATTGATGCATTCGGGCTCTGCAGCATCCCGAGTGGCTCGCTCTGAGATGCCCTGGCCAAAGCAGGGGCATGTGGTGGGCAGCCTGGCCTCAGCCACTGCGTGGGCAAAGGGAGTGTGTCACACTTGTGTGTCGTGGGACAAGGCTCCAGGCCCTTCTGGTGAGGAGTTGACCATGAAATGCAGAACCTCCAAAAAATAAACTTAGACCTGATTTCCCCTTATTTCAGAGGCTGCAAACTTAAATATGTTTTAAAATAGTTTAGTGTAATAATTGGAGAGTAGAGGTTTGCCTGAAATACTCTGCCAGATAAAAACTAAAGGAGATACTTAGCAACCAGTAACAGTAAAACGCTGACATGGTTTGATGGCTTAGGATGAAATTTTAATTGTTCTGAATCGCTTTTCTGTTTATAAAGGCTGTGTAGTAACTACAGTGTGTTTTTATTTCCATACGTGAGTCCAGATTATTGGCAGCAATGCTGGCTGTAACGAGAAGTGCAAAGAAAATCTGGTCTCTAAACAATTGTGGAGGCTGTCATTCTGAATCCTGCTTTGAGCTCTTCAAGCCTTGATTAATAGGACGAGGCATCAATTCAGAATTCATATGGACTCCAAGTGAAGTTCTTCGTTCCAAATGGCCTGCTCTTCTGGAGTGCGCCTGCGTTTGGAGCTAGAACCATGTCTATTCAGTACTAATTAGCTAGTGCATGTAATAACTTTGGCTGTGTCTGCACCAACTGTCTTCCCGTAATGCTTTCTGCTGTTACTGTCAGGGAAGTGTCATGTTGCTATTGTAGATGTGAAGTGTGTGGGAACTAAGGTGACCTGTGTAGTGCAGAGTTGGTGGAGGTAATACTTTGACCTGCTGTGTTTCCAAAGGGAGGGATTTGCCTGTGCTTCTGAGGCTCCAGAAATGCAGCAGTGGATGAGGTGTGAGAGTCTGTAAATGCTGAAACTGCCCAGTGTCTCCTGGTCAATCATCCTGCACTTCCTGCAGAGGGGACAGTTGCGAGTGTTTGCTTGGCACCTCCTTACTGTTTATTAAGTTGGTGGTCAGACACAACGACAAGGGGTCTTGGGGCTCAGGAGGCGAGAAAAGCTGGGTTTGAGTTTGATGATGTCATCGTAGTCAACTATTTCTTTTCTCTTTCCAAAGAGTCATTTAGGCAACGTCTTAGTTGATATGAAGCTCATTGATATCAAGGACACTTTACCCGTGGGCTTCATCCCCATCCAGGAGACCATTGACACACGTAAGTTGGGGTCTGCTCTCGCCAGTGTGGTTGGGTGCTGGGTCCTGGCAGAGGGACACTCTTGGCGTGGTGCTCTCTGGGGTTACGGGTGTGCGTCTGGGGCAGCTCCGGGCTGCGGTGAACCAGCAGGGGATGTTTGCACTTGCTGAGAGAGGCACGAGTGGAATGTCCAGGGACAATACCATCCTCCTTTCTGCAAGGCAGGAACGGCTTTGCTGCAGCATTTCAGCCAGCAGTTCCCCAACAGCATATTCGGATCCCCTGGGACTGGTGACGGCGGGATCTGGGCCAGGAGCAGCGCTGAGCTCCACCGCAGGAGTCCTGGGCTCTGGGCTCCCAGCGCCAAGGAGCTGGCAACGAGCCCCGGGAGCTGTGGAGGGACACCCCGTGGGTGCTGAGAGTCCGGCTGCTGCCCAGGAGCGGGGCTGGGACCTGGGCTTGTCAGTGATGAAACTCAGCCCAGGCATGAGCAGAGAGGAGTTACATGAGCCTGCTTTGCAGGGAATAATTTGTCCATGTCTGCAGCAGATGAGGGTGGTTTTTCATTCACTGCCAACCTGGTTCTGATTTGAAGCTGGGAGCTAGAAGCAAGAGGCTCTGCAGCCCATTTCCCTGGGTCTCCCCCTTTTCCTGCAGAATTCCTGGGCACATGTAGCACAGGGAAGGGTCATCAATTTATCCTCCTCACCCTTGGGAATGCTGGACACTTACCGTGTCCTGCTGTAACTTTTGTGAAAGTCCTAGTGGAGAGGTGGGGTGGGACTTCGTAATCACTTTAAAATGCGTTGGGTTGTGACCCACACAATCTCTGAAACAGAGGCACTGTCTGTATCAGTGAAGTGGAGCGTATCCCTGCCTCCATAAGGATGAACGAATGCATTTCAATTGACTGTTTAGAATGTGTTTACTTAAAATTACCTCTGATTAAGCATGTTGTAATTAATCAGCTCCTAAACCAAGTTTGCTACAGCCTGCAGACTCTAGCCAAGTGTGGAAAAGACAAAAGCAAATAGTCAGCTTTGCGCTTGCTCTGAAAGGCAAATAAGAGGCGCTGATTTTGTTCAGAGTTAAATTTGTGGTCGTATGTGTCTCTGCTCTTCTTGAAGTGACAGTTGACTTGTAAGTGTATGAAATATAGTCCTCCTTACTAGGGTTTGACAAAACTTTCAGATGTGGAAGCCTTAAATCCTCAAATCGGTTTTAGTCACTTCAGATAAAAGCCCAAAGCAGGAGAAGCCCAGACGAGAGGTGTGCGGGTATTTGCCATCTGGGAGCAGCAGCGCTGTGGCTGTGGGGCTGGATGCACAGACCTGGGGCTGTGACACCTCGTGGTGCTGACACAGTCACTGCTGCAGCAGCAGATCCCGGCGCCGGGATGGATTGTGTTCTCCGACGTGCGTGTTAGGAAGCAGGAGGAGCCTGCAGAGACAGGGCTGTGTGCCATCTGTTGAAGTGAGAGAACATTTTTAAACTGGAGGATATTTATTCATATTAAACTGAAGGGGTTTTATTTTCGGGCACCCGTTTTGTACTCGTTGGTTGTTTCCAGATTTTCATTCAGTGTCTGTGCTTTAGATTTTCAGTTTATCAGTAGGCTTCTGTCGTGTCTTTCAAGTGCCTGCACTCCCCAATAGAAGCCTCACCTTGCTCCCACGGGGACTCTCTCAGACCCTTTTGGCTGAGGCAGACAGTGGTTTCTGAGCACCGCAGGTGTGTGTCTGTGCCTGTCGCACCGCTGGCGTGTGGCTGAGCCCTGGCTGGATGTGGATTGTGTCTGCGTGCAGAAAGACAGCGTGCAGACAATGGACTCATTGTACAGATAAGCCTTGACTCTGGGCTTAAGTTTTTCTTGATGGATACGTGGAACCAAATGGAATTGCTGCGGGGCAGGAAGGGCTGTGCGGCAGGTTCACCCGCCCTCTGAACCCGGGGCAGTGCAGTCCCCCCGTAGGACATCCTGCCCATTACTGCTTTGTAAAGCTGGTTTATCCCAACAAAGGTACCAGGGCAGACACAGCGGGAGTATCATTCCAGTGCTTGCTGAGTCAGGAGAGGTCGTTAACATGGCATAGATGTGTGATCTGGGCAGAGACCTCTCACTGCTCCCCCTCTGCGTGGTGCTGCTCCTCTGCCTGCTCCTCCTCTCAGCGTGGTTGGTGCCGGGGAGCACTTGGCAATAAACTGACCGGTTCTGTCAGCAGCTTCCAGGAATGTTCCTGGAGGCCATGCCGGTGGGAGGAATATTTCGAGACGACTGTCTGGGCCAGTAAGGGAAAATGTGGGGAGTGTGTGGCTGTGGGAATCCCCTGCCGTGTGCGACGCGGTGCGCTGTGGCACATGTGATGTCTTATCTGCTCTGCAGAGGGACAGGGAGGGTTGGTTTATCGCAGTGCCTAATAACGAATCTCACCCAGCCAACAGAGAGCTCCTGATAGACAATTTCTCCAGTTAGTGAATGGCACTGCACTGCCTGGTTTGCTGACATATATCTGTGCTTTGCCTCCAGTTCCTGCCATAATTATCTGCCTAATATCTGGAGAGACAAAGAATAACATTTATACTCTAATCTTGCATAAAAACCACCCTCTGTCCTGGGTTCTTTTTGCAGAAGAAGTAGCTTTCAGAAAGAAGAGGCTGTGCATTAAATTCATCCCTCGAGATTCTACCGAGGCAGCGATCTGTGACATCCGAATCCTGGGCAGATCTAAGCAAGCCCCTCCTCAGTACACCTTCATAGGGTAAGTGCCTGCCTCCAGGAGCTGTGGTCATACTCAGCTCTGCCAAGGCCCAGCACCCTGGCTTCCTGTAATTACTAAGTAGTAGTTTGTAAGAGCTGAAGCATCTCATTAGAAAAGTTTACATAAGTACAAATGTTACTGAGTTTGAGGTAGGAATTAACTAAGCCCTTTTTTTTTTTTTTTCCTCCAATTAGACTGGTTCTCACTAACCAAGGTGTTTGTGAAACACATCAGTGCTTGATACTTGTGCAGGGGCGCAGTGTTTGCTTGTAGCACTAATGCTGTCCGTGTTGCTCACACAGAGAGCTGAACAACATGGGCATTTGGTACCGCATGGGCAAAGTTCCACGCAACCACGAATCTTCACAGCCTGTGACGCCTCCTTCCCAAGCACCGGCTTCGACCCCAGCCCCTAACCTGCCCAGGTGAGTCTTCTGCAAGCCCAGCCCCTAACCTGCCCAGGTGAGTCTTCTGCTTTCCAGCCCCTCACTGGGTGCTGCCTGGTGTGTGTGGTTCCTAACCCCGTCTGGCAGAGCCTGGCAGGTACCGCATCCCAGGAGCGATTGCCCGGCGTGAGCTGATAGCCAGGGAGTGTGTCATTCTCTCTCAGCTGGGAGTTCCTGCTGTGGAAAGACAACAGGACAAAGACAACAATAAAGGCTGCCATTGTGCAAAGACATAGGGGTGAAGAAGTCAGAAGAGAGAAAATGCCTGCAGAGGAAGGGAAACAACAAATCACATCTTTTCTTTGCTTTAAGCTGTGTGAGGTGTTGTAGCTTTCAGCCAGTACACATGGGTTATCCCTGTAGGGTGGGCCAGAACTGCAGCCAAATCGATTTCTCTCCTTGACCGTGGGGAGAGAGAAGCATTCATGATGATTTTAATGTATAGAGGGACATGTTTTGCTCATTCTCCAGAGTCAGTCCACTCATGGTTTGAAGTCCTGGCCCTGATTTTCCTTTTCTTGGACCCAAGTGCTATGCTCCAGCCCTGCAGCTGGCACTGAGGACAGTGAGAGCAGGCCCCTCGTTCCACAGAGACTGACAGGAGCAGCACCTGGGGACAGATGCCCATAGTGCGTGTCCGGGGTGTTTTCCCTGTGTTATAGACAATGTTTGTGTGTGCATAAATGTGTATATGTATTTATAAATGTGTGTATACGTGCATATAGCAGTAGTCCTGTATTGATGCTGACTTGCTGGGTTTCTCTGGACAAAAGAGTGATGTTAAGCCACAAACCAACCCAGGGTGAGGTTGAAGTGGGTGCTTCGTCCTGCTGGGGTTTGCTCCCAGAGCACGGTGTGCTGTGAGACGGCTCGTGGGCTGAGCTCTGGGCCGGGCTGTTGCCAGGGCCAGCACGTTCTCCAGGGGTCCCTTTGGGCTTTTGCTTAAGTAAGCAAACGTATTTTTGCACCAGGCATTTGGTGTAGTGCAGATACGTACGCAGGGAGTGCTAGAATTCCAAAGGAGACAGCAGAGAGGAATTTCAATGGGATTGGTTTGGATACAAAGGTCATTGTATTGTATGGGTGGAAAATACTGTTGTCCTTTGGAGTCCTGATTTATAGGTAATTTGAGAGTGACACTTCTAAACTGCTGGAAACCGTTCCCGAAGAAGGTATAGGGTATCTTTGTGAGGCAGGTGTGTACGCTTGAGCCTTCGCCTGTGACCCAGGCTTAGACCTACTGCCTTTGGTGGCTCGTTGAACTCACCAAAGCTTTTGGGGTTCCTTTCACCCAGAGTTTTGCCTCCCACGGCACGCTGCTGTGCTGGCAGGTGTGCTGCAGGCAGAGGTGCCGTGCTGCTCCTGGAGCAGAGGTGGAGGCAGAGGGGGTGAGAAGCCAGCAGCCTGCGGGAGAGCTCAGCCCGGCCCAGCTGAAGCTCTGCTGGAGGTAGGTGACACGCTGGGCCGTGCCAGATAGAGAAAGAGAGGTCTTGGTTTTAGAGCATAGATCTTCATTTTCTGTCCTCAAGAAATTCCTGCCTGGGCAGATTTCCACTTTATTGTGGACACTTTCCACTTTATTGAGAAAAAAATTATCATAGCAAGAGAATGTCAATGGCAGCCCTTAATCACCAAGTGTGGAAGGGTCACTTTATGGCCAGGCAGGGAAGGCTGCAGAGCAGCGTCAGAGCTGTTGGGAATGGGGCCAGAATTAGAGCTGAGAGCATCAGCGACAGTCTGAAAAGAAGTGTTTACAAGGCTTATATATTTTATAACCTCTTGTTGTACAGTTTATGGTTTACAATGGCTGCAAGGAAATTGGATCAGTTTTGTTTTACTTGCCAAATAAAGCAAATGTCAAAATAGTCAATATAAAATGTATTCTAATTTGGCTGAGTTAAACCAGCCAGTATGCAGTGGAATAATTGAATGTTACATTAATGCCTCCTAGTAAAAACCACCTGTCTGTAGCCAGCTCCGCTCTCGTGCCTGGGGCGTGATTTACAGGTAACTCTTACACCACCAGCCTGATCATTCAAAGCATCTTTCATGTCTGTTTTTTTACTCTGATTATTTATTATCCAATATATTTTTTAAGAAATAGAAATGTATATAAAGGTGCATCCTGCAAATATTTCATTATTACGGGGAACACATACTACTTGAAAGCCTTTTTTAGTACTTTATCAGCAACATGGTGAGTTACTCAACATTTCACATTTGTGGAAGATTGGAGTCACAAGTAGCCTCTTATTTTTACGTCACCGTGGAGAGATGAGATTACACTGGTAGCCAGTTTGCGGTTTTATTCCGTGTGGATATATCCTGACAGGAAGAGCAGTGAGTTATTCTGATGCTGCCATAAGCGCTAAGAGCAAATGGGTGAGCAGTGCCGAGCAGAGCAGTGTGGAGATTCTGCCCTCAGGCTGGCCAGGTATTTAAGTGATTCTCTTCACTTGCTGCCTCGCGTTATAAAATAATTTTACATCAGGAGTGTATGCTTGGGTGCTCCAGAGCAATTGCTAACACTGGATATAAACTAAACCAGTAAAACACACAAGTGACCTTCTGCACAGCAAAACCTTCCTAAATGGAAGGACTTTTTACTGCGGGAGATGTTTATTTCTGCACCAGCCGTGTTTCCTCCTCTGCCCCATGATGTCCATGGCTGGTGGCAGTGGATGGTGGCACCCGGAGCTGTGTGTGTGTCTGACCTGCGCAGCATGTGCCCGGCAGCAGCGCTGCTCCCAGCGCTGGCGTGGTGGGGTTACAGAGCTGCGCGAGGGGAGGCTCTGCCTGGAATTCCTGCTGGACTGCATATGGAATTTTTTTCAGCCATTTCTTCTCCTTGGTGCTTCCTGCTGCAGGCATCTGGCTTAATGGTCCCTCGCGCAGCCCTTGTGCATCCCGGGGAGGGTGGCGTGCTGCGCTGCACAGCACAGCCCTGCCGCTGTGCAGGGCCTCAAGCTGCTTTACTGTCTTCTCTCTCCAAATTCCACGACAGCTTCTTGGCACTAATGGCAGCCTGGAGAAATGCACTTGCTGTTTCCCATCCTAGAAGGCTGCTTCTAAAGAACTGCTTTTGTTGACTCGAGTCACTGCTGCGAGTTTGATGTGACTTTCCTCGGTGCCTGCGCTCTGGGGTGCTACGCAGGGAGGTGATCCTCCCCAAAAACTGGTGCTGGGAATGGGGATCGCCTGGCCCTGGCTGTGCCCGTGCTTACCCAGCCTGTGGGGTGGCCACTGCCAGTGCGTGGCTGGGGACATCATGGGCATTTGAGCAGCATCTTTGGGCTCAGCTCCTCCCTGTTCAGGCCCTGTTACTGGAGCAGGGTTGGTGTGTGACGTTCTCCTCTCTGCGAGTCCAGCTCCAGCCATTTGGGAGCAAGTCCCTGACTCCATGAGTGTCCCCAGAGCCAACCTCAAGCCATTTTGCCTTGTGACTGCCCCTGTGGCTCCCATCACAGGCACAGAAGCCATGAGCTTCCAGAGCCCCTGGGGTGGGGAGCACATTTCACATCCCTCCCCGAGGTGCTGCGGGAGTCTCCACCACCATCATCCGCACAGCCCTCTCACAGCTTGTCAGCTGCGAGCGAGATGTCAGTCAGCACTGCTGAAGTGTGTTTTACAGTGACAGACATAATTGCACTTAACTTTTTGCGTGGATGTTATCAATCTGTGACGGATACTTTGGGAAATGGAGCACTCTGATTGCAGATGATGTGTCACAGACGTTTAATCTTCCTCTCGGAGAGACCAGGATTCAGTCACAACTTTTACTTGTTGATGTCAGGTTTTGAAAATGTAGATTCGTGCTGACCCTGGGAATCGTTCAGTCATTTAGTTTGCAGGGCTGTCATCTGAAAGGTTAACGGCTTGCTGGGGAGCAGGCAGAGCCTGCTGCAGTCCGCTCCTGTTCACATCACAGTTCCCCTGGCTGGGCGCTTGGGTTTGCCCTTCCAGACTGATCCGCCCTCCGGCTGCCTTCATGGGATGCCTGTGGCACAGCTCCATGGGCAGGGCAGCTGCAGGTCTCAGTGGGGCTTGTGGTGCCCGCTGCCATCTGGGAGACAGAGCCACGAGTTGGCCAGAAAGGCACACGGGTGAGAAAACCGTGTCAGCCCCAAGTGCTGTGCTTCCAAGGGTGCCCGGTGCCCAGGGGAGGCGGCAGGGCTGGTGGGACGCCCGGCCCGGTGCCCAGGGGAGGCCAGCGGCGCGAGTAGAGGGAGTTGCCATCCTGGTGGGTGGCAGTCGGGGATGCTGAGCAGCTTGGTCAGGTTTCTGGGCATGAGCCGTCACAGGCACCGGCAGAAGGAGGCAGCAGTTTGCAGAGCCAGCTGGAGAGGTGGTGGGAGCGGGGTGGCTGCTCCCTGGCGTGGCACACTGCTGGTGCAGCACGGCTCCTGTGTGAGGTCACAGGGCCAGCCAGAGCTGGCACAGGCCAGCCAGATGGAGAGGGCACGGTTTTCTCCGGTTAAACTGTGACACGTGAGCAGGAGCATGGCGGCTGGTTGGGGGCAGTTGGGCAAAGCCCCCTGGCTGCGGGGGTCTGTGTCCAGCCGGGCAGTACAACGTGAGGGCCCGGGCTGCTGTGCTGGGAAGGGCAGGGCTGGGGGGGCCACAGGGGGGGTGCCTGGTCTGTGGCACCAAGGGCTTGGGTCTTGAAACACCTCTCTGGCAGGAGCACTGCACAGGGGAAGAGCTGCTCTGGCTTTGATAAGAAGATAACAACTGCCCTCCTTAAACACCTGAAATAAGAGCAGAATGTGTAAATTTTCCTCCGGGCTCCCAATTACCTTTTAAGTAGCTGAGCTGCCCCCCCTTACAAACAGGAAATGATTTGCTCCCGTTCTCAGCTCCCAGTGGAGCTTCATGTTAAGGAATGTAAGAATTTCCTTTCTGGGCAGAGAAGTCTGATTTTTCAAATTGATTTATTAGCAGTGTTTGAACTTTGTCGTGTAAGCTTGGAAGGTGATCAG